GGTATCCTATTGGACCCATGCCTCTCTCATCAATCATCACTCCCAGTTTTAAAACACCAAGCACTCAAATGCTCAGCTTGTCACGCTCTGCATGTCCATCCTTTATATACAGTCTCTGTGGTACCCATCACTAGAGCTGCAGTGAGTAACATACTGAAGTGCTGCCATCATGAACACACCAACTGTTGTCACATACACCACCCCCGGGACTCAGCACTGTTAAAGCACCAAATACACATCATCCATTTCAGAAGAAAGATCCAGACATGAGAGTGCTGGCAGTGCTTTGGCATGTAAGGAAATTCTACTTCATGTTTAGCAGAGACGTCTCTCTTCCAGCACCGCTGTGACGTTGTACAGACACACTCACACAAGCATGCAGGATAAGAACAAACACACACATAAAACAACACACATGCAGAAATTGAATCACGCACTCACCTCAGTGTATAAGTGTGCTGATTCGGAGTTTCTGACAGGGTCTGGGGGATTTCTCTAATCACCTGGGATGAGGAGGTAGAAAGATACGGTCAGCAGGTGAAGGATAGGCTGCCTCTAAGCTGATCATCTCATCCCAGACCTATATTATTATTTCCCAAGTTTCTCCAATTAGGGAGTGCTGATGTGGGATCAGTGCACAGATCTCCCACAGTCATCGCTTTCAGTGCAGAGAGAAGAAGCACAACCGGGAAGAACCGAGGGACCGGATCAGCAGAATTCCTCAGAAATCCTTCACAAATGAAGCTTCACAGAACTCTGGAGGTCGTTTTGGCTCTCCGAGCTCTCATTTCAGCTTAAGTGAACTTTGGCGATTTCATGTTAAATCCCCGCGGTTTAGTCTTTTAGCAACGTAGCAGGTGGCAACAGAATATTAAAAAAGCGATATAGCGATTCATCACCTGCTGTGGCTTCTCCTGATGCTTCCGTATAGACGAAAACATTAGTAAACAAACTTAACCTTCGCCAGCTCTCTTTCTGTTCCTCTGCTTTTAAAAGTGTCAGCAGTTAAACTTTTCTTTGTAGCAAGAAAAAAAACTTATAATAACCTTATAATAGATTGCACCTGTCTGTCAGGTTATCGTGTATCTGAAAATAACAGAGCCGGAAGGTTTTTTTGCACACTGCAGTGGGGTTGATAGGAGACAAAAGGGTCATAAGTCACTGATTTTCTTCAAAAGCTGAAGCTTTATGATGGATTGCTGTGTTTTGACATCTGATATTGTGGCATCAAGCAAACACAACACAGCAAATCTGATTAAAACTCACCATCACCCAATCAGAAATATCTTTTAATATTAGACCAAACAAAAAAAGAAAAATTAACACCAATGCTTAGATTGAAAAACTGAGTAGTCACTAATTGCTTGCTTCAAACAAATCTGGGTTTCATAAATGGTGGAGGGAAATGAATTGTACATTTACATTTTGTTGTTTTTCTTCCAAAACACAGGAAGTCTGTAATTTGGTCTGTCTGAATTAGTAAAACAAAGCAGATACTTTCATCCACGCTAGGTTAGCCTTCTTAAGATTCATGAAAATATCAAAAAATGCATCAAAATGCAATAACAACATGCCAATGATACATATGGTTTGTTTTAACTGGAAACAAACACCCTGATCTTTTCTTATCCCATCTGTCCTCCCCAACCTCACTCATGGTCTCACGGACTTTGCGCCTGAATAAAGCTCGCCTCACTTCCTCCTTTACTTTCATCATAATTGTAAAGACAGTTAGAGAGCACCAACAATATAAAGGTCACAGTCATGGGTCAGAACATGCAGCTTACATAAATGACCGTTGACTTTGTCTCACGGGAAGATGTTTTATACCAAAACATGAGCAGAAGAATACCAGACACGCTCCGACCTAGAACCAGACTAAGAAGTGAGAAAGAACGACTTTCATGAAAGAGCATATGAATAACAGAAACAAAGTCATTTAATTAATATGCATTTCATGCTTTCACATGCTATTCCATGCTGTGAAAGATACTTTAAGCACTCAACAGTGCAAGTTCACAACAATCATCTCAAAGCTTTTTATAGTTCAAGGCAGAGGAAACCCAGCGAACAATCCCAGTGATTTGCTAAACGGAAGCTTCAGTGGATGATGAACTAGCTTCTGACATGAACAGATCTCCTGGACCAGCAGCGGTCATGCTAGGTTAGCATGCATTCGCTACTGTGGTCTGTTTAGCTACAGCTAGTGTTGGGAAGGTTA